TTTACTTGCTTTATTGTGGCTATAAATATTTTTTACGTACGATCTTCAGATTTGTTTATACGTTACTACGTAGCAAATGTTTATATCGCTGGTAATTTTCATCGATCTTTTAAGACGCCAAAGTATAACGATCAGGAGTAACGATGCTTTAATTACAACAAATCGTAACAAAGAATTCTAGTCGGTAATTTCGAGATATTTATTATTTGTTGGACACTCTGTATATGAGAGTATTATTGTCCACACGAGCGTAAGTTTGCCTCGCAAATGCTCGCGTGGTAATTTCTTTTCGCATGAAATATTTTTTCCAACGAAACTAAAACGCGACGGACATCCGATAAAATTTATTCAGTAATACGTATTCAATGTTCGTGAATCATGGCGAAAAAAACACTTAAACGCGATTTTATCAATTAATGGGATTTTAATCTCGACGGACGATGACCGGCGCGCCATTCTGTTCGTTTCGATCGTGCGATTTTCGAAAAAAAAAAAGATATTCGAGATGCAAGTTAGGGACGAGCCAAAACCTGTCGATGCAAACCGATATATTCCCATTAACGCAATTATCCTCCGTTCAGCTGCTACCAACCTACCGGTTGTCCACGTTATGACGGGGCATTGGAATCCATTAATACGGCTTCGGTCGCGCGCAGGTTCATTATCGTGCATTAATTAGCAACACCCTATATCACTATGCTGGCAATACTATCGGTTCGGCTTGCTATTTCGTGGCTAACCACTGGATCGTGACGTTCTGACCGCGATGGCAGTCGGCTTGATCCGATAAAAGACGACGGTTTGTTTACCGCAACAAACAAGTAACACGCGCGACACATGGTTCGTTAGACTCTCTTGTCAACGATATGTACTAGCTGTTCTCTTCTTACCGAACTACCTCCGCCAAAAAGATTACAATTTTTATTGCAGAATGAAGGAAAGTACAGTTGTTTCGACAAATCGAAATGTTGAAAGAGACGACGTTTCGATTCCTTTTCGCCGAGATATTTAATGCCGTGAGTTGAGAAAGCACGACAGCTAATACACAGCTATAGCACCTTAAAGATTCTGTTAATTCGCGGAGAAACTATTACGTACGCGACAAATAATTATACGCGCGATCGGTTAGGAGCGACTGGTATTTCGAGCAGCAAAGATTGCGGCAGACATGAACGATTCATCTCGCCTGTATTGTGAATCGCGAAACGGCGCTCTCTCTCTCTCTCTCTCCCTCTCTCTCCCTCTCTTTCCTCATCAACCACCGGCGCCAATATTTCGGGCGGCCGAGTACCTTTTACATCCGCTATTGGAATCCGGATGTGGCCGGCTACCGAACAGTCGGCAGTTTGAAACGAGCAACGCGAAACTTTCGTTTCCGCTCAATCGTCAATTCCGCCCCGACAAACGAGAAATGATTCGGCTACCATAGCAGGATCGCAATTTCGTGGGAAAAGGGCTGTACTATAGTCGCGTACATAGCATATACGTATAGCGATTGTGTGCGAGTTCAGCGAGATCCTGCTGTTCGTGTTTGAAACTTACGGGATTAACATTAATCGAGTCCACAATTAGTAAGATCCATTGCAAACATGAAATTATGTCGAGTCTACCAACTATGGACATGACCCCATTTCAAGTGCAAACGTCTCATTCGGAGTCTCAGAATTAGAATTCTTTCCTTTTTCTTTTTTATTGACAAGTAACTTAAAAGAAGCTAAAAGAGGAAGCACGACTAAGAGAGAGGAGACAGTCGCGTGTAAAACAGAAATGGGAAGGAAGACTCCACGAGGAATGACGAAGTCAAAGGAAAAGGGAGAAAGTGACGGCGGTAACAGTACAGAAGAGCGAGGAGCGGTCGGCAAGCTAAAGGGACGATGCGCGCGAAAAGAGGTACCAGCAGGGAGGACGAGAGGAGCGCGACCAGAATTGGATAGGATAGGCGAACTAGTGATTACAGAGGCCGGGGATTCCCCGGGGAGAAGCGCTGGTCTCCCGTGGGCTTCCACCTAATTCCATCCTGGCTGACTACTGACTCTACCTCTCTATCTTCCTCTCTCGCTCTCTATCGGTCTACCTTGTTCACCTATTGCCTCTCTTTCTGTCTCTAACCGTACACTTCTGTTGACGTCCTTCTCCCTCTCTCTCTCCCTCTCCCCTTCCCTCAGTATCTCTTTCTCTATCTCTCTCTTTCCATTCTGCTACATGTTGGAACAGTACTCTATCCTCTTTTCGCTATTCGCGTTTGATCAGCCCTCAAACCTCTCCCTCATGCACGCATCCCTCCCGACCTCCCCGTCGTTTCCCTTTCTACGTTCATTTGTCTCGCTCTGTATTTCTCGCGGCTTCTCTGTTTATTCCGCACTTATGATTCGTCCCCCTTTCCCGCCATCTACGACCGTTTTCCTTCTCTCTCTCGCGCTCTGTCGTTCTCTCACCGTCCCTTTATCTCTCTCCTTCTCCGCCTTCCACTCTATGTGGCAACTGTATTTCGGTTATCCGGTTGCACGTATGCTTTCAACCTGCTGCAACAACCCAACACCCTCGAGCGCGCATTGGATGCTGGAGCCGCCCGGCGGTTTTCACCGTTCCATCTGTCTTGGTTCTTCAGTCTATTCACTGCGACGAAACGATTCACGGACTCGATAATTGATATCATTAGGTAAGGAACTGGTAAATTCACTCGGCACTCGGCGAAATTAAACGTTTAATTCAATATAACGCGAATTTTTTCTATTTTGGACTAAACTCGTAACTTGAAAAATTACTTGCGTTTCTTTGAACGTATAATAAATTAATGTATTAATTTGTTCATTTTTTACATTCAATTCTGTCAAAATACTACTTTACGCACGATGTGATAATATTATTAATTAACGGAAACTTCTGATATAATTGCAAGTCCAATTCATTTTTTAATAGATATTTGATTGCATTTGAAAACGAATTTTCTGTTTTCCCCGTACTTTAGAACGTCAGTAAGCCATGAATATTACGTTTAATGGAAAAAAACATGATTTCGGAAATTCGAATTGTATATAGGTTTAATATACCGTGCACGTCTTATATAAATATAAAATCGAATATGACGAACGTATTTTCCTCAAAGTATATAGTCAAGATGAATAGATGTTACGATGCACATGTACAAAGTATAAAAAGAATTCAAAATACAGAAATTTTAAAAACTCTAACGTTACTTGCATAATTGAATCGTTTTTAATTGCTATAGCAATATTGTGCATTACGGTATGCGGTTGCTGCAACACAGCAGTGGCTTTTGGCACTCGTACCGTACGTTACTTTTACGCCGGTGCACGTTCGCACGTGTCTAGAAGTTTCGCGAAGCACCCTTTTAGCCCGACTTCTTTTTCGTCTCCGCACATCCACATCTACACACGAACGAATACCTTGCAGGGAACTTCGCTATTATTCGCTTGTCTTTGCGACAGAGAAGCGCGAGCACGTCTACCTTAATCTCGTAAAGTCGTCGTCACCTAGGGGCGGCAAATCTTCATATTTGTCTCATTCTGATCCCTTTTTTCCCGCGTTTATTGCACGCAAGTCTCACTTCCCTTCTTGGTCCTCGCAATGAATCAAGGAAATTCATCCAACGCGAATTAAAGCGACTGTAAATGTTACTTTACAGAAATCAAGAACGTCAACGCGCTCAGATTTGTTTCAATTTGCCTGGGGACACGCGAAAGCTCTAAGTATCCTAAACATATCTACGTTGTGTCTTTATATGATATTTACTGTCAAGAATTCGAAAGAAAGAAAGGACAGAAAGAGGAAGAGAGGAGGGAGAGTCGTGTCGTATTACCGGTGAAGTTCAATCAACAACGGACCGATTAAAGAATGCATGTTGGAATATTTTTTCGTAACAATAAGTAAACCTAACCAATCTAGCGTAATAGATTAAGGTACTCGCGTAATAAATTAAGATACCAACTATAACTATTAAACATTATATTTCCACTCATCTCTATTCACCGTCGGTGAATCGCGCAAGAATGAGGGAACAAATCAGGCTGAATAAATCGGGCAATACGAATAATGCAATAGTGTCGACTTACGTTTGAGAGATCGAGGTTTCGCCTGCTTCCTCCTGGACATATCACCGCACTGGCACGCACTCCAACGTGGGCGAGAGAATCAATAGCGACTCACCAGCATGTCGCACACGTCGAGAGCGCGAATTTCGGCGATCTTGACGACGATTAATCCGCGACGCGTCCGCACGACTCACGACGAGGATCCATTCGAGCCGGACATGTTTCTTTCGCGAGTCGCGCGCGTGAAGTTGGCCGCGCCAGGACCAATCGAAAATCGAAGGAGCGCGCGACTGACCAACGCGCGCGAACACGTGGTCTGCGTGCACGAAGGGCGTATGTGAACGCACCCCGCGTACGAACCGATGGACAGACGCGCTCGGAAGACGCGCGACGAATGATACGAGGTTGGTACATCGCGCCCGCGGAGAACCACTGGCAAGGAGTTGCGCAAGCGTGTTGTCCGGCCGTCCTGCGCGACACTTGCCACCCACTTTTTGCTTTCCGCGCGCGATGTTTTTTTCGGCAATCGCCAAGTAAATACACAGCTGAGAGAAACCAATATTTCGGGAATATCAAGCGGATTATCTACGCATCCTCCACGCAAGACATTTCGCGGAGCCGAAGTAGGCTAGATGTGATTGCACCTCTTATTCACCAAACGTTGCTTCAATGAGTGAATAAAAGTCAGTAATTAAGTAAATATGACCAATTATTTGCACGCGTGTAAAACACTATCATCATGAAATCGTCATGAGTATCAACGAATTCTCAGAAAATTATGAACATTATTCGCACGTTGTCTTACAAATAATTATATAAAATACAAATGTTTGTAAGACACGCGGATTATCACTTGTGTGCTATGTAATGCGCAAATACAATGTATAACAGATTCCTACCTTATCGTCGACACCGAGATAATACACCGACAGGACAGAAATGACAGGAGTATGTAAAATATTTCTGGACACTCGTCTTCTGTCATCAAGCGCGCGGGATGCATTTTACCGTTCATTTTCTGCGATACTAATCTATCACTTAGCGCTTGATACACAGTGCCCGAGTAAACTTATCTCAAGCATTCGTATGCATGACATTTCGCCAGCCACTGACACTATCGTCATACGTAAGTTCACATTTTCGATCGTCGTTGTTTGTTTCCGTAGCAGAGGTTAGGTTTTAATATCACTGTAGCTGTTAGAAGCGAATATGATAGATAACAAGAACGTAAAAGTATCTTAAATTACAGTTTTAACCACTTCTCGTTTATATTATGAGTAAAATATTATGAGTCAAATGAAAGCATATCCAATTGTCAATTCGATTTTTATTTGTTTCTGCATTTTATATCTTTCATTATGCATTACACATATTGTCGTTCGCAGAAAATGATGTCACTGGATCGTATTCCTGATCAAACTGGATACTTGGTGTTAACAGAGGACGGTGCTGTGTTAACGGTATGAAACTGGAGTCACGACTGACTCTTATAGCGAATTCAGTTGCTTGCACTAGTGTGCAAAGGCTTGTTTATAGTATGTTATTATATTTAAAGATTGTCTTAAATAAATTCTCAAATATGTTTAACTAGTAATATAATATGTACAACATCCGTATATCATTTTATTAGCTAAAATGTTTTTAAATATGCATTTAAGACAATCTTAAATATAAAAATGTACTGTAAATAAGCCTTAGCACACACTCAGTGTGCACTAGTGCAAGCTACCGAATTCGCTATTAGATTTACAATAACAAAATAAAATATCTCGCATTTGTCATTGCAGTCCGGAGGAGATTTGGAAAATGATGAGAGAGTGGCGAATATCATTGTCGGCTTGGTCACCCTGACGACTGGAATTGATCCTAAAGCTTTCCCCGCGCACGAGGCCTTTGAGAAAATATCAATCACATACAAGGATCATTGCTATGTGATATGTCTTTCTAATAAAAAGATTCATGTAGTAAAGAGAAAACTACCGCTGCCAACTACAGCAATTGTCGAGCCACAACCTACCATCGATGTATAAATCAACACACAATGCACATGAAGGGGAAGTTTACTCTTTGTGAACTTCAATATCTGACACGAATTTAATTTCTTCGGTCATTTTAAGAGATTTATCTGCTGTTATATACCTACATAGAAATATATGTCACTATCTAAGAATTAAGTTAGTGCTATGTAATATATAGCTATAGGAACAGTTATGTATCTTTGTTGTATGATCTAACGCTTCTTTCAACATTTAGGAAAAAAAATCTCTTCCAACGTGTAATCCAATGAAAAGTATATGGACTATAATCACACGTTAAATATATTTTCCATCAAAATATACATTTCGCAAATCCTTGTGTTGGCGTTTATTCTTGGGGTTAGAGCATTCTGAGTTGAAAGTACTAGAGAGTTGAACTTATATATCTATATATATATATATATATCTCTATATTATATATTAATATATAACATATACAAATTGCTTGAAACATTCATAAAGTATATTAAGTATCACTATCGGTGCTAGAACTGTCATAATTCACCAAAGAAGTACTTGAACTACTGGCTTTCGAGGTAGTTGCATTATCTATGACTTCTTGCACTTTTGGTGGCTCCTGACTTTGCAGTTTTAACCTGTTATTTGAGCCAGTTATCTTCCTTGAATTATTCTTGGATCGTACAATTGTAATCAACTGTTTGAAACCTATACGTTCTCTCTTCTTTATGTCTGAAGAGAAAAAAACAATGTTAATGATAATTATAGATAATGCGTGTTTAAGTCTACTTAGAAGCTAAATAATGTATGTAAGCTATATATTGTACCTTTCTTTCGAGTGAGTAATTTAGCTATTTTGATATCATCTTCATGTTCCTGAACTAAATCAATATCTAATCCGGTCTTTTTTAACAGTGCACAATCTACAGATTGTTTTCTCTTAAGGTCTTTTTTCTTCTCCTGCAACATAAAAGACACCAATAAAAATGAAATCCATATTTACTGTTGATATATTGATAAGAATAATCTGGTTGAGAATAAACTGCAAATATGTTAAAAAAACTATGTTCATACTCGAAATAATGCTCTCAGTGTACAGTTTAAGCTGTAATCATCTTTCCAAATGTTATCGTTCAAGGATATTGCACTTTCTAATGCCGAATCTCGAGACTTGGCTACTTTCTTGTCTTCCAAACCATGTTCCAATTTATACATTGCATCATCATACAGTCTACACGATACTTCTTTTGTTTCTGGTACAACCTGTTCATTTTCTTTAGGATCCCATCGATTCTCTTGACGCCTTGCACCACTCACTATGACATAGTCTAGATTCTGAAGCAATATAGAATATTTTAGAGTAAATATTACTAAATGTCATTATATATTCAATATCAATATTACTTACTGCAGGGTCAGTTTTTATCTCAAAGTGGTTGTCACAGAGATGACATTTCATACGAAACTGATAAACTGGAGTACTATAATACATTCCAATCTTCTTTTTCTCTGCATTATATCTGACACCCATGCCAATGTGATTTCCACATCCATCACACCATATATTATAGGGCATTTCAAATCTTATAATTAAGATGCCCATATGGATTTTACGGGCTCTCTCACGCAATGCGTGAGTGCCCAGGAACTTGTTGAGCCCACCAACACGGGGATCATAATCCGGTGGATAGTACAAATTTGTACCTTTTCGTTCTCCCATTGTGCTAGAATTTATTTATTGATACGTGTATGAAGAGTGAACATTTGATAAAATGTTTGTTTTATTATATATTCAACATAAATAATAATATAATAAATATCATTATACCTTGATTCTTCTTTGAATCTCGGAAGGAAAATAAAACACTTTTACTTTCAAGATTCTTTTGACACGACCTTTCTTACAAAATCTAATGTTTTCTTAGGTTAGACCATAGCATATGATCATAAACCATAGACATATATGCGGTCGGGTGGGACCCGATTGATCACGGTATAATTGGACACAGATTGTAATGCAGGATTCACATCGCGTCCGTTCGACATACGATGTCCGATATCCAATAAAAGAATAGCTTTCCAATAGAGAATTGAATTCTCTATTAGAAAGCTGTTCTCCTATTGGATATCGGACGTCGTATGTCAGACATCGGACGCAGTGTGAATCCTGTATAATGATTGGCTCGACCTGGTAGATAATTCTTTGCATCGGTTGGTTGTGTCCAATCATACCGTGGTCAATCGGGACGCTCTCTATAGCTATGTTCAGAAATCCTACTCGATAGGTAGAGTTACTTTAATAAACCAATCAGAATAAATAACTCTTAGTTCCTTTTGCCCTGATTGGCTAATTAAATGTTACTCTACTCACCGAGTAGGGTTTCTGAACACAGCCTAAGTGGTCTGTGCAGAGTAGTGAAGGAAAGACGAAAGGACAGATATATGCGTCCAGAGCTGCGTTTCAAAATTCTACTCGGTGAGTAGAGTATATTTAATTGACTAATCATGATAAAGAAATCCTAGTTATCTTTGTTTTCATTGCTTTCCAGTTGCAATATCCCTAGACACTTTCATGCACACGCAACACAAATTGCATTCCAATTGTCGTAATCGTCGACACACATCCGTGCTCAACTCGAAGGCTACTAGTCGTCTGCGGCCCATATTCTGAATCCTCTTTTATCGATAAAAGTGTCTTAAATACAGCTTCTTAACCAATCAGGTGGCTCCTAAGCCTCTTTTAGAGGCACTTTTATAGATAAAAGAGGATTCAAAATATAGGCCTGTGTAAACTAGTGTTTTCTAGTGACAATTAAAATTAAGGGCTTTCGTACACAAATTGCCGTAACCGTAAATCCCGATCTACAATAGATGTAGTAAACTTTAAACTTTAAGAAATTGACCAATCATAATCGAATTATAGAAGAATAATCAATCGTGATTGGTTAATTTTTTACGGCTTAAAGCTTACTACACCTATTGTAGATCGGGACTAACCATAATACGTAAACTTAAGTTGAAGAACCAATCAGAATATTGCTATAGATTTATGTATTCCAAAAGACTATAAAAGTGACATCAAGTTTTATCTTACGCAGAAATAATTAGATTTCAATCGGTTGAGTTTTTTAAGGTAACATTCGCGCTTGAAAAGATGTATTTTCGAAAATGATATCAGGTGAGCTTATTTCGTTCTGCATCGTCTCCTGGGTGACAATGTGTGTTTGTGTCACTCCACTCCCTCAGCAGCACGCCCAGAATGTTGAAAATAATTTCCTAATATTCCAAAATCGTGTCCATAACGTCAGATTCATCGTAGCTTTATATTCAGATTTTCGCGCATGCGCAGTGATATCTATCTTACGCATGGGCTGAAAGAGTTACTGTAGGTCATGTAATGTTAGCATATAGAGCAAAAAAAATAAAAAATGTGAAAATGTAAAATATTAAGCAATTCTTATGTAGTAAATTATATATTTTTTCAAATAATTTTGATATTTTAGAAAATATTACAACATTGTGGAATTATTAGAAAATATTACAACTCTGTGGAATTATTAGATAAATAAAGGCAGAATAAAAATCACCTGTATGTTTCTAATATTTTTAAATAGTATAGTTCAACGATGTGTGTTAAACATTTTTTTTATTTTTTAATAATATGATTTAACCTAGATCAAAGACTTTCTTACTTTTAAATATGTAGTACGATTTAATGATGGGAAAAAAGACCCTTTTATCTGTTAATGGTTTATACAAGTTAATGGCAAATCAGGTCAAATCAAATTTTTGTTTTTCAGTAGCACAATCAAATAGATCGACATACTTTCGTCTTTATTATATAATAATGAAAAACAAATGTTCTTCTGACTTAACGTTACATCGCACTGCTGAAAAATGAAAATCTAAACAGGAAGAGCTTTAAATAAGGACAATAAAAATAAGATTTTATATCTATTTACTTAAAGAAACTATAACACATAGATAACAGAAAAGCCCTTCTCTTAATGGCTGTAAGTCCTTTACAGGCAACACTACAACTTTTGTTTGGGACTTACGTTCGAATCCGCCACGAGCGAAAATATAACAACGAGAGTCTTTATCACAAAATTAAATTATATATACTCGCAATAATTATCCTACATAAGTGACAAGAAATTATTTATCGTCATACGGTTTGGTTGATTTCTGGATCCACGAGTGTCTCATAATTGCTCACAGAATGAGCATTATAATTCTGTCAGCGAGTTGAAATATATACAAAACATCCCAAGGTGTGAAAATAGGAGTTTTTTTTCCTTTCAATGGAGAAATTTTCGAGAAATTTTTGGGCAGCTGATATAACATAGCTTTCAATGATGCGCGGGTACTTCTCGAACTCCGAATGTTTTTTCGTCTTCCAAACATCGAATCCGATAGATCTCATTCTCTCACTGATGAACTACCCTGCCTTGTGTAACGCACTATACCCGCGATTGCCTGTACCAGAAGTCTTTATCGCCCGTAATAAGGATACGGTAGTTTGTATTTGGCCGAGTGTGGATAGTACGCGAACGCGTAGACTACTGTAACAGAAAGAGCGTGCGTGCACATATTAAAGTATACGTTAATATTTCTTGAAACATGCAACGAATATTAAAAAAAAAGAAGAAAAAACAAAACATTGCGGGATGTTATTTTTTTAATTTAGCTCGGACAAACAATCTCGTATATTGGAATGAAATGAAAGTGTTCAGGTATACTCCTACACTCACACACAATGCAGACTTACAAATATTCTATAATCCGCACAAATATTTTGCGCTTCTCAACCACGAATAGTTGAAACGATACCTGATGATTCCCGTGATGATATATCGCGTTCATCTCATCTCTTCACTTCATCACGTTTTGAATATTCGATAAATATCCGATACAATTCCGGCCCGAGGTATCCGGATATCTGTCTCATAATAAATATCGTAAAACTTTCGAAGAAACGCCGTTTCCTCTCTTTTTATTTATATATACGCCTACCGACGCGTTACCTGACGTTACAGCCGATGGAGTCTTGTCGCCTGCAACGACGCGTAACGCGCGCGTCGGCTGGCTAACATTCGTCTCTGCAGGATGTTCCTCTTATGAAAGGGTTTCAGCGTGCCGAAGGCTGACGCCGGCGCGAACGGGTCTTGACCCTGCCAATGATCCGCCGACAACGGGTTCAAAAGCTGTATCCTTAGTGGGCCATCCAAGCTGTTGTGAAGATTCGCGAACTGCGATTGCCCGTGGAAATCCACGTGCGATTGCAACTTGGGCAAGTCGTTCAAGGCGCCAGGGTAGCCCAGCAGGGGCACTTTCAAGGGCGCGACTTGCGGTTCAGTGTCCACGGTAATACTGGCATAGACCGACGTGCCACCGTCGTCATGGAGAGGTAACTTGGGCACCGGCTCTAACAATGGATTCGTCAATGCTCCGTGCGGGCCATCGTGTGGGCCAACGTGTGGGTAATCGAGCTGTTGCACATGCAACGGTGGATACTCCACGCTCTGATGAATGGACAGATGAGGGTCGGCCAGATTCGGGAAATGATGCGACGATGGGATCAGCGGTGCCGCTGGTTCCGGGGGATGATGATGATGATAAAAGTTTTCCTGATCGACCGCAGGGTAGTTCTCAGGGTAGGTCTGCGTCGGTTTGTCAAGATGCGAGGAATAATGTTCGGGCGCTCCATAGATTGGTGCTGGATGCGCGATAGGAGAGTTTGCGTAAGAGTTCACGTTGATGTTGTTGTCATGATCGTCTTGAGCAACGACAGCTTGGTGATCCGTCGTGTCACTGACACCACCGCTGCCGTTCGGCACGCTGATCAAGAAGTCTTTGATGGCCTTGACCGGACCGCCGAAACTTTCCTCTAACTTCGCAGGGTCCGGCTTCACTTCCGCTATGTTCGCGTGCTGGTCGCTGTGCTCGTCCAGGTCAGATTTCGTCGGCGTCACGATCAGCAGGCCGCCCTGATTATTGTCTGTGAACGTGACGTCTGTCAGTCTCGTAAGAGTCTCTTGTGAGTTGATTCAGTGCTTGGGTGTTAAGTTTGCATTTATTACAGTATAAGTACGTTAGTCAAGTTCTTTGGGGCAGAGGGAGAGTTGCATGTATACACTGTCAAGACTGATTAGCACTTTATTGCGAGTGCGTCGGAGGTACTACGACGTGTCGAGTAGGTGCGAAATGTAGAATATAACCACAATCCACATTCAATAATCAATAGACACTTACATAGATTCGCAGGCAATTGTCGCAAGGTCCGTCACGCAGTGAAAAAAAAACAGTGCGCTCTGTGTCCTATTAAATTTCTAAGGTGTAAATTGTTCAAGGATGGATACCGTGCGTAGAGAACGCGCGCATAGAGACATTTTTTTTAAATCACGTACGAATATTTATCAATAGTAGACGCGGAGTATTTGTTTATGTATTTAGAGGCGCGTGTCGATTTACCGAGTATTATTCTTATTATCTTTACCTTAAGATATAAGGAACATTTTCGTGCGTTGGGAGAGGAAGAGAATGAACGCATCCAAATTATACTCTGTGTTCCTACGTCGACAGTTAAAATTCAGAGGAATCGAGGAAGTGTGTCAGAAAACGAGACTCTCGGAGAAAGTGAAAGGTGAGAAGGGTTTGGTGTTTCGACGAACACGTGGGCAGCATTGGACAATATATTGTGAGATCAAGTAAGGAAAGAGGACGTTGACATTCACCGTTGCTCGGCCATATGCGATATGGAAAGGGAAATTCCTCCTCCTTGACGGGAGAGGAATTTCGCGAGCGAGTTTGGGCAGAGCGTATCGACAAAGACTTTTGACGGAGACTAAAATTTATGGTATCGCGTAACGATCATAATCACTCTCCCCGGCAACGAAATTTATTTGTGAGAACGATAACCGACGACTTGATGGTTAAACGATATTGCAAACTGCAATTACTTCAGAGAAATCTTTTCGAATCGGTAAGAGGAAATAAATTCCACATTTAATGCTTTTGAAATTCAAGGAGAAAGTTGGGAATCTTTAATTACTTCTGTTTTCTCTGTGGAGGGAGAATTCTCTTTCTCGGATCGTTCTCCGATGAATCTCCGGAAGAACCAGGCGAACGCGCCCGTGCATTCACTGAATATCCTCATCAACGCGTAATTGTTATCTCAGATCAATTAAAGCTGGCACTTTAGAGAGGCACGAAAACGTACAAACGGAATACAATCTAGGAACTTTGTTACAACTACACTTGCGAAAGATAAAACCTAAAAAAGAAAAAAACCTACCATCTGATGGCCCGCTGTACGTCGAGTGTGGAGAATAATCGTTTGCTTCAGAATATCCGTCAGGACCCGGCGGTAATCCTTGGTAATTGGAATTGTATCCTGCCGTTAAACAAGAAATATTTAACAAGACACATCCAGATAAACACACGAGAAAGATTACACCTTACTCCATGATCATTAAATCAATCGCAGATTGTATATCGATGCGTAAACACGTAACGATACCAAGAACGTGGTAATGCAGCAATGAGCGCGTTTCATCATTGAACATGATTTATTTCAAGCTTCTTGAAATGATAATACTGATTATAACACTCGATTGTTATCGCTTCTCGAACGAGTCCAAGAAAAGCGAATAATACTCGGTTAGGTGTCTTGAACACGTGATTACCGGCGAAGTATCCGGGTTTGCTGATAATCGGTTGGCTCGTAGTCACTAAAACAGGCTTTCTACGCTACGTCATTTCTAGACATGAAATTACGTCTCTGATCGATTTCCACGACTAATCGGTTAGGCGCAGCGTATATAAGCGAACGAGCAAGTAGAAAGCAATTTTTTAGTGGCACACGCGTTTTAGTGGCCACGCTTGCGACTATTATGGTTCATCCTTCTTTTTTTCTTTTTCATTTGTCTCGAGAAAACGAAATTTTTTGTATTACGTGAAATTATCTCGGGCCGAGCAAGGTCTAATTGAAGCTCTCTTTTTGAGTATTGATTGAAGTACCTGGCATTCTCCTTTATGATCGATGAATGATATGAAAATTAATCCTCGGTGTATCATTGTGATGAAAAAATAACTAACATTTCTAAACTAAAAGAATTGAAAAGATTATATTGTAATGACATATACTATATAGTATATAGTAAAAATATAGTATAGATTTTATATCTAAATTTATATAAAATTGAAATAATTTCTTGACACTAGAGAAACAAGTACATTCTCCCTTTGGTCTTTAGGAGACCTTTAGACAAAGTGAAAATCATAAAATACCAATCCTTATCAGTAGTTGCAACATCAGTAATTACAAAAACAAAATTCAGAAACTATTGAATCTAATTTGAATAATGTAAATTAGATCTAATTGATCATGGCCATGAGCATACCGAGAGTTAATCGGACCGTGTCACGCAATTTTCGCGATCTTTGCAATCGTCATCCTCACCTATGTCTTCAACTGGCGGATGTTGCTCGTACGTGTACGTGTCCGGCGGATAGGACGCTGGATAGGTTGCCACACTACTCGTGAGTTGTTTACCAAAGGACGTGATAACGTCCCCGGTTTTACTGATAACTTTGCCCTTAGCTGCGAGCAAGTAACCACCGCCCTTAACCAGCTGTCCCTTCAACGCCAGCACGCCGCCGCTTATCGCCTTGAGAGCTTGAAACACTGTGCTAAAAATCGTCTTCTTGAAGTCCCAAGCACCGAAGGGCTTCTCTTCATACTGGAGAAGTAATGCGACTGAGATTACAGCGTCTCTATATCGTATTGCGTAAGGAGACGAGAAAGATCGGAAATCGAGAACTGTCTCGTTCGATATACCTTTCCCCATTCATTTTCTAAGTAACGTAACTGGACTTCTCATTATAGGGTATAATTACGTTCTTCAACACCCAATGTCGTAATTTCCACTTTGAAACACGTTATAACTATTTTAATCGCTAAACGAGAAACGTGATCGCGACGATATAACCGCGTGGCGATTAGGAATATAGAATTATAGACCAATCAGTCGACAGAGCGATCGAAAAACTGCTTAACTCTCGCTGTTTTGTGATAACTTTGACGTTCTACATCGTGTTTCCGTGTGGTTTTTCTTTCCATGTTTACGCTAATAGGACAGGATTCTCGACACGAGAATCGGTCATTAAATTTCGCATAAGGATGAAAAAATGATATCTACGCTGACGTGTGATCTTTTCTTCCGTCTCTGTTATTATTTGCGTACCCCATTTATAAATAAAAGTCAGCAAGAGAGAAAAGAGAAAATCTGTCACCGATTAATTGCGCAAATGCGAGCATCACATTACCGAATAAACCGGAGATGCGCTGTAAGCCGGTTTGTGATCGGGTTGGCTGCTGCTCGCCGATGCTTTCGCCGCAGAGCCGCTCGATGCGCTCGCGACGCCGCTCAGGACACCACCCGCTATGCTGGTGAGGAGACTGGCGGATCCATGGTTGAAGCCGCGCTTTATCCTCTCCTGCATCATCGCGGCGTACTTGGGATCGGCGATGATGTCGATCGTTATGCGCTTCTTCTCGTCTGCTCGCTTCACTGCCTCGCTTGACTCTGTCTGTTCGGGCAGAATCTCGAGTAACTCCCAAGGTACCCTCTGGTCCCCGTCGATCTTCCTCTCGCTTGAGACGTCTTGACCCACCGGTCTCCAGGCCTCCAAGAGGTTCACGAGATCCAGCGCTTCTTGTTCAGCGCTTTTTCGATACGGCGCTAACCGCTCGAGCTGTTCCGACGCTCTCTTCAGCAACTCCTGATCGGTATTCGAGGTTTCCGATCGTGCGACGATTATCGAGCAACACGTTACTATCAAGAGTTCCGCCAGCTGAAATGCACGACGAGGAAAAACGAATAGGAAAAATTGTATAACTTGCTCTTCGAATTCTTCTCGAATAGCTTAACGCTTAATCCTAGGTAATGAGGTCTGCGAGACCCCAGGCAAAGTTTGAACTCTAGTATTAATAGAGAGAATAAGTAAGGAGGATACGACCGCCGTGTAAAAAAAATTTGAATCTCCTTTGTAGATAGCAACTGTCGGAGCAATCAATTGTCTGTCGGTTTTGTGGTAATTTACACGTAAAGTAAACCCGGGGTTTCCCAGACCCCAATGTGTACTTCGTGCAACTTTTTTTGCAACTAAGTATATTTTGTAATTAATTTTATTCGAGTTTATAGTGTAAATATATATTCTAAAGAATATTAGATTAAATAAGTAGTGTAAAAAAAACTAATTTATATTGGAAGACAGAAACACACGGACTAAACGCCCAAAATAATACTGCCTTGTTGAATAAATGTTATTTGCCGCTTTTAAATTATTGATTTATTGAATTATTTAATTATATAATTATTGAATTATTGATGTTTTTCTTTTTTGTTTCTGTTTCTATTACATACATTACAAGTTATTGAGTTTGTATTTTTTAACAAAAATTCTAACTCTTATACTGCAAAACCGTTAGAAAATAGAAATATGAAAAATCGTCAATCTTGGAGCCTTATAATTTTCATAATAATATTTCAATATTTAAGTAATGATTTTTTTCCTTGTACCTTGAAATATGCCCTTTCAAAATCTGAAAACTTTTTTCAATTATCTCTATTACCAAAAAAGATATGCATTTTTCAAGCTATTACGGTAAAATAACGTTTCCTTTGCATTTATGAATATTTCTAATGTTTCAACACGTCTTTATTACGTGATGCTGATTATGATTTAATCCTAATTCTTGATAAATATGTGTTTATTAATCTATTAACAATCGGGAAAAAAAGTCAGAATACGGTGATTTTTACCGGAGATATAATAAAAAAATTAGCTGGGGTCTGAAGGACTTCAGTACTATCTACGTATGCGAAAAATAAATGTGTACCTAAGGTTAATAATAGGGGCGCGAATTTCCGTTTGGTTATGAGGAGGAATCGCGAAGCGAAGCGTTATTTCTTTCTACGAATATGACTTAACAATGTGGAAAAAGAATAATGACCAGCAATGAGAACGGACGGACAGCGACGAGTGACCGTAACAGTTTAGGGAAGTCTCTCCCTCGGGATCGTTAAGCATCGTAACTGAATTTGCGACGGTTCATTTCGTGGGACGTATGTTGATTTACGATTTGTTCGAGCGCATCCACGCAGCGCAAGTAGAGCGATTCTAGGTGAAAGTCACGCGACTACCGGCGGTAGTCGAACCGCTTGCTGCACGAGTTACCATACATGACTTGAGGTAAAAACGACGATCTCGCCGGCTGATGATTTCACACGGATACCGCCGTGATAAGGAACGTTGAAAATCTGCGGAGTAATAGCAAAACGTAGAACAAAGTTGCACAATTCTATTAAGTATCGGCGTGTTTCTCGTAACTAGAAAAACAAAACCATCATACTTTTACTGCAACACGAACAAAACAGAAAGCAGCGAAGATTCTAAGATAGATTGTAGCAATCTCGAGATGGAAAAGCGCGCGATCGAGCAACTATAATCGGGCGAGTGGCAATTTCGCGACCCCGGAAACATCGACCTGCTTGAACGAGCGAAAGTGATCACCGTGACCTTGATCTTCGCAGTGCAATCATCAGTTGACCTAGTTTGTCTTCGTTCGCTCGTCGATTTCTAAAAAAACCGGCAATTGAGCGATCGCGTATAAACATTCCGATTTCCATTCGAGAACCAACAACCTTTCGAACGTGTTTTCCACAAAATAGAAAATTAATAAACAGAGTATACTTTCCGCGTGAAATTCTTCGTAGGTACAAGTAAATCTTTATTATCTGGATCGCATATCACCCGTATGATTTTTTCGTTTCTTACTTATTAAATACGCACGATTGCAGCTGGAAAACGTTTAAAATTGATAAATTCCAATCTAACTATTATACAAAGAGAAAACAACACGCCGAAATCAGATGTATTTGGTTATCTTGGTGACCCATCAAAAGAGCGTTCAGAAAAGTTCACTTCTGTAGGAAAAAAGGTTCATGGAACATTCAAATCTTTCTCCGGAAAAATAAAGACGTGACGGTGAAAAAAATGACAGGCACGAGCCATTCGGAATTCTTTAACGGAAGTTTTCATTTATTTATTTATACAAGAATTATGAAGTGATCAAAGAAAAAATTAGAACGCGTGCGAGCGATAGTCCGATACGTCGAATTATTGAACAATTGCAGTTTCCTGCAAACAACTTCAGGTTTCCTGTCTGTCATGAAAAAACGAAAAAAGCGGATATGAGCAACTTTCGACGATCACGTTAACGGCTAATTATTTTTTCACGGCTTGCAGCTTCGTATAAGGAACTGTCCTGCTTAATTCTCCTCATTGTTGAGTGTGAAACTCGCGACGACTAGTACGTAGAAGGAAGGTTACGGCCAGACGGACTTTCACGTGGGTGAGAAGCAAAGTGTCTTACACTCAAGTGGCGTAGCTTGAAACGTATAACAAACAGTAAAACGACGATAATGAATGCGAACGATTAGAATGTGTGGTTTTATACTCGAAGAAGCAACGTGAAATCTCAGTAGCTATTCAGACAACCGCAGCACTTCTCCGCGCGTCGTTCACCGTGAAATTCGAAAATTTTCCATTCACATTTTTTAAATAATCGATCACGGCGATTGTCGAGACGAATTGCGTTTCAATCGAATTAAATTTATTAAATTAACTTTTATATATCGACGTGCCGAACGTTAACAACAACGTCTCTACGTGATTCTTTAATTGATCGACGTTGAAAAATATTTATCGACACTTCACACATCTTCACAATTCGAGAGAAACAAACAGCGCGCGTGATGTGAGTGGCGCGTACCTTCATATTTGACTTTCACGGTAGAACGGTGAAATGATCACGGCACTCTCACTGAGAACCCACTGACTATCGCCACGGAATATATCCTCTCTTTATACCGACTCCCACTTTGCCGGTTATCAAGAAAGTGACATCCACTTTGCCGCGCAGCGACTGCCAAAATTCACAAATTCTACTCGATTACGTTACGAAATACCAGATTATGTGGTGAATAATTAAGCAGGTTTAGTAGTTTCCCTTACACATAATCAGCATATATTAAATAAGCATATAGTTAAGATACTAGTAAGATGTACGTCGCGACATATTTGAATTTGAAATAGTTCAGACTTTAATTATATTCTCGGAAAAAAAGTTAAAGCACACACAGGAGGTCTCAAAAAAAATATTACCGACTAAATTTTACATCAAATCGAGAAATTGCGGGCGCTACATCATTTGATAAAGAAAAAACGTGGATATAAAAATTAGTGATAATATAAAGTAGTATAATGAAACAAATAGTGTGATTATTTCGTGTTGATTATTAGAATTCTCCGCGTTAGCTTGCGATCAAATACGCATGTTCCGTTCAATTTTATTGCGATAATATACTATGTTCTAATATAACATAATCGATTGGATAGATGCTCAAGCAAATATATAAAAAATTGCGTAACACACGGCGAATATGTGTGCGCAACGATACGTTAGATCGTGTCGTAATACGAAAGCGTAACAATACCATAAAGTAATACCGACGTCGTTAGTATTCCGGGGCCAATCGCCGTGCGACGCATCGTAGAATTTGTTCTTTACGCCTTTTTCTTTTCAATTTCCATCCCGCTAACAATCTCGTCACGAATGTCGGCCGAAATTCGCGACGTGCAATGCAATTGCACAATGCATTGGCCACGCGCGAAATGCATCGTAGAAAGGCGGAAACAGGAAGGACGCACAGACGGACACGCGCAGTTTTTGACGAAATTCGCGAGGCGGATCACGCGAACGAAAGTTGTCAGATGAAACGTGTACCATCTCTTTGAAATATCAAGCTCGCTCATTAGCAACGAGCTCTTTTTCATTTTCCGCACGTCATTGTCGCACGTGTGTATACATAATCGGCAAATAAACAGCGGAAGCACAGGCGGAAAAAGGTTTGATTCAGATTGACCAAATTTCTAGTGAGATATAAATGAACCAGATATTCCGATTGAATTTATTAGAATTTTGTTCAAGTTCAAGTCAACAAAATTTCTAGCAAACCGCATTCTGGTAACTTTAACCGGAATTTTTCGGTTCATTCTTATTTCACCAGAAATTTGATTAATCCAATCAAATATTTTTTTCCATGCAGAATTTATTTATATTACATGTATTCAAAATTACAAAAAGTAAAAACGGCATGCATAAGAAAAGCCTGACTTCCATAAAAAAGTCTTTAATAAAACAATAATCGACGATTATAATTTTAAATGATTCAGCGAAATATTCCTTTGCAAACGCAATTTTATTTTAAATCGATTGATTATATCTTTAATTTTTAGTTCTAGAAATCTTTGTAATCTATAATTTTTATTTCTTGTCCTTTCTCGGATTGTAAGCACGAGTAATCATCCGACGCGTCCGACAAAAAAGTTTCGACAACTCTTACCTTCATTCGTACATCGCTCGTGCGGAATGAAACCAAAATAAGAACGTCTTCTTACCTCTATTGTCCTTTCAACGATATAGAATAGAAAGCATGTCGTTAGACGACGCCAACTTATATTAGATTGTAGTTTGCGGGTCGCGGGAGGAGCTGATTAATCGCGGATACAGTTCGCGAGCAGCGTTCCGCGTAATAACGAGATGATTGTATCAACTGCGCATTGAATTGTAACGCGGCGAGTCTGAACATTTAGTTGGCGTCCTTTCATTCGGTCTCGAAGTCGGATTTGCAATAAATGACATCCGATTCACGGGTTGACTTGCGGTTTTCACTAAGCGCCGTATCGCATTTATATAAGTCTCGGTGTTGCATATCAACCATTTAACGTTCACGTATGAAAATAGCGTTAGATTATGTAAGGCGGATAGTTCTACATCAATTATGTATTGAATTCACACGTACACACCGATTAATAAAACACGCGTAACAGCAATTGAGAAAATGTACGATGCTTGATAGTTTTCAATTTGGCGGAGTTCGACTCGGTATTTGCAGATCGATATGTCTCGTTGCAGATCGCGAAACGATAAATAAGAGCGTGCTTTTGAATGGAGCGCAAATGACTTGACCGCCGATGACATAAGACGTTTATTCGACACGTTATGCTTATCTATGCGCGTCTGTCGTAATGCTCATTGCAGGACGTTTCCACTTACCTAGTCATTTCGCCTCGAATCCTGACAACGGTCGTCTTCATGGCTCAATAATTACTGTCAATAATAACTGTCATGCGGCAATAGTTGCATGACGTGCTGTCAGACAGACGAGAATTACTCTATTTTTCTTGTCGCCATTTTCTCCTCGTTCTTACTTTCTTCTCGAAATGTAATACGCGTATGTATATCTAATTTTTAGAAACCCCGTCTCCCATTTCGCCGGTCTTCCATTCCGCTTCTGGCGTGAGAAATTAATAAAGTGGCGATGATAAAAATTGAAAATTACATTTATCGGCGATTGTCAAGTGATAAAAAGTCGAGAACAAATTATACGATTTCATAATTTCGTTTTTAGAATATCGAGTATAATTGCGATTTGTTCTGTCAAAAAGCAATATTGTTAAAAATTAAAGCACAGTATTAGTAAATGCGCGATGGTAAGGACGAAGGACGAGGGGTTGTGAGGCGGTATGGGGAAGCCGGATATACAATGAGGCGCACATACATACGCACACACAACAAACTATTGGCATAGTGAAAATATGTAATAAACATATTTTATGCAATATATGAAAATTTATAGATACACAACACTGCTTCTCTCGTCACTACCGGTACCACCGCTACTCCCAGCACCTGCTCCACCGCCAATCACCATCATGAATCATCTTCGACTCCGATCGAATCTGTCAATTCGCAGTAAGATGGAAAAGGTAATAAATTACCTATTAAACATAATTCCACGTTAATAATATAATTTCTCCGTGTCAGCTTTCAATGCGCTTTCATCATTTCTGTTTCTTAAAATACTAAGGAATTCATTACTATTAATTGCAATTGTTCTCACAACTCTCGATTTGAAAAAAAGGAAAAGAATAATTCCTCACTTCAACATGATTGAGATGATGTAAAAAGAAACTAATTTTGGTTTCCTACCGAGAAGATCTGCTCGGTCGAGTTTCCTCGTCATTGGGAGGGCGGATCGGGGGATGGTGACATAACGAGCCCTCAGGACCATCTCGTCCTGCGGCCGGGAGTACCAGCTGGAGAGCAGGAGCGGGGCAGGGGCAGTGCAAGAAGTCTCTTCTCTGTCACGCTCACTTTCGAACTAATTTCCTTGTTACGTGTTACAAATCAGTGCGCTCGACGTACAATCGTACAATCCAAGATTATATCATATATATATATGTATATATATACAGAACAATCTTAAACCGCTGAATCTGGGTAAAGAACGCGAGTAGTAAATTCGTCTACCGCGGATGGGACTTTCTCCCTATCTTATCTTCTTCCTTCTTCACTTCTTTGCTTTTCTTCGAACTTGGTTGCGCGATCCTCGACGCTCTCGCGATCGCGAGACGAGATTGCCGCGATCTCGACTCTTCCATTGCCGAGCACGTTATTTAGCATATTCAGTCGTGTATTCATTAAAGTTTGGACTAGTTTTGATTCAGTTCGTTCTTGAATTTGAAAAAAACTGATTCGAAACTTCGACAAATACGCGTTTCCTTTTTTTCTCTTTTCCAATGACAAAGGCAAGGAACTCGGCTCTGGAATTTGAGACTCGGGATCGGTGCCGGATCGATTTAGCAGCAATTGACGAATAACCTTCGCGCAGCCTCGGTGAATTCTCTTTCGTCTCGACGCGAACCTGACGCGTTGCGTTTTCATCTACGTGTACCTTGGCGCCAATGGACCAACCGCGGTAGCGAAAAAGCGAGAGGCGGCTTTGATCAATGAGAGATCGCAGGATTTCTTTTCATCGGCAGACAGGCAATAGATTGAAAAATCTGAGGGTTCATCGATGATGATACGTGCATGGTCACCCGATCATCGAAAGACGAAGGACGAAATATGCGCTAGACAGAGTCGCGAAGCATACCGAACGGAGGAGGACCTCTCGGGGGATCTCTCCTCCCTTTTTACATAACGGATTTGCATTCAACATCCTTTCCATAAGCGACTTTCTCTAAGTGCTATCGAAGACCAGAAAGGCTGGCTCTCCGCGAAACATGAGCTCTGCGGAATTCTTTATAAGGGCAGACGCGAAGTGGCGGAGTGGCGGAGCACCGATTCATACCGCGTTTAGTGTAACGAAGGTTAAGTGAAGTCGACGTAATTAAAACCAAACTCTAGAAAGATTTGGACAAAGAGATAAAGAGAAAAAGAGAGAGAGATAGAGATAGAAATAGAGATAGATAGAGATAGAGAGAAAGAGAGAGAGAGAGAGAGAGAGAG